TGGGTTTTTTTTGTTTTTTTCAGCCTAATGATGGCTTGCTTCACTGATAGTGACAGCTCTTTGGATCTCATCTTGAGAGTTGACAGCAACAGATTCCAAATGCAAATAGCACACTTGAAATGAACTCTGGACCTTTTATCTGCTCATTGTAATTGGGATAATGAGGGAAAAACACACACCTGGCCATGTAACAGCTGAGAAGCCATTTGTCCCATTACTTTTGGTCCCTTAACAAGTGGGAGGCACATATGCAAACTGCTGTAATTTCTACACCGTTCACCTGATTTGAATGTAAATACCCTCAAATTAAAGCTGACAGTCTGCAGTTAACGCACATCTTGTTTGTTTCATTTCAAATACATTGTGGTGGTGTATAGAGCCAAAAATGTTAGAATTGTGTCGATGTCCCAATATTTATGGACCTGACTGTATATCTCTCCTCCACCATTTAGAACACACCAAACAGCCCTCAATACTCTTATCCTTAGATGCAGAAAAAGCATTTGATCGAATACATTGGCTATTTATGCGATTGACATTACAGAAATTTGGAATTACAAGATGGATGCTAACAGCATTATATTCCCTCCCCTCAGCCAGAGTATTAATTAACAGACGGAACGTTATCAGACCCCTTCGATATCACCAATGGCACTAGGCAAGGCTGCCCACTATCCCCCATCATGTTTGCATTGCTCATTGAACCCTTAGCCTCTAAACTCAGGGATGACCCGGCATTTACTGGCATCAAACACCTTAACACTGAACACAAAATTAGTCTGTTTGCAGATGACATCATATTGATGATTACCAACCCAACCAAATCCCTCAAAACAATATGAACGCACCTTCAACAATACTCAACGGTTTCTTATTATAAACTCAATGAACCCAAATTTCCAATCTTAAATCTCCACACACCACACCAAACATTACTTGCTAAACAAATCCCCTTCTCCTGGGAAAAAAATAACATCCCCTATTTGGGAATCAAACTCACTGCAACAACGGACCAACTATTCTCCTCAAACCACAAAACACTACTCAACACTATACCCCAAGAAATTGCCACCCTACGTACCTCAGAACTTTCCAAATTAGGCTGAGTTGCGACCTTGAAAATGTACATCCTACCAAAAATCCTGTACATCTTTTGCACGCTCCCCATACCAGTTCCTAACACTTTCCTCTCCAAATTACAATCGATTCTCTCCAGATTTTTATGGAACTCTAAAAAACCTAGATGCACTACCAATCTCTTAATACGCCCATCTTCCAAAGGAGGCGCTGCCCTCCCACATCTAAAATCCTACTATAATGCTACTCTTCTGGACCAAATATACTTTTGGTGGAACCCAACCAGAGAAAAAATTTGGTCTACAATGGAAACCTTACCCTTCCATCCACTTAAAACCCAAAATTTACTCCTAATTCCACCAATGCCACAAACCAATTAAAACATCCATGTATCCAAGCCGCCCTTCAGGCCTGGCGCAATCTTCTGACCATGGAATACACAGACCCCAAACGAATTCTCACCCCCATTGACATATTACACGCCATTACACCCTCAATACGCCTATCCCAATGGGAAAAACGAAACATACACAAAATAACAGACCTCTATAAAGACCACGCCCTACAGCCATTTCAAAATCTCCAATCTACGTTCAATTTGCCCTCCATGGAATACTTCACCTACTTAAGAATTGTCCACTGTATACGAACAAAGAGTATACCTCATACCACAAAAATCCCTAATACTGCCTACCTTTTCTTTACAAAACCGCAATACCCAGGTAAAGGCATCTCTACTTTCTACAAATACATAACGAACCTGCATTTTGCTCTAAGATCTACCTCTTTATCCAACTGGGAAAAAACTCTTTCAGAAACAATTACATCACACGCATGAAGCACAGCATTTAATGCCACTTACAAATCATCCTGCTGCAGCTCGCACTGGGAATCATATTTAAAAATCCTTCACCAATGGTACCTAACTCCGGTCAAACTTGCCATGTATTACCCAAAACACTCTGCCTCTTGTTGGTGGCAATGCGGAGACATAGGCTCAACACTACACATATTATGGTCATGCAAATCAATGAACTGCTTTGGAAAAGTGTCTTCCAACTACTCTCTGAAATAACCCAAACAGTGATCACCCCAAACACTTCACTCGCGCTTTTACACATTGGGATTGAAAAATTCCCCTATACCTGTCGCACCATCATTGTCCACAGACTTTTCACAGCAAAAATCACTCTAACCAGATTATGGAACACCAGTACTGCCCCTTCTCTCAAATCACTAATTACAGATCTTAATTTCCCATGCGAAATGGAAAAAAGATCGGCCCTCAACAACTCCCACCCAATACAAATTCAATTCCCAATGGACTAGCTGGTTACGACATTCCAATTGCTCAGTACAAGCCTGATTTCGTACAAACAATTGAACTACCCATCCATTTTAGACTGGTACTCCTCTCTCCACCCCATTACAATTTCCTCCTCCTCTCCCTACCCTCTTCCTGTCCCCCCCCCCCTGTTTAACACCCCTCTACCATTTCCTACACCTCACCAAAAGTTCAGTATACATCCATATCTACCTCTGATGCAATTGCCTTATTCCTAAGTTGTCCCCAGCCTAATGGTGGGGTACACCCATTCCAATACTGTATTGTATGACTGCAATTTTTATTGAACTGAACGTCATTATTATTATATTACTTTGTTATTGAAAATCTTCAATACAAACATGTTGAAATAAACAGGGGAATTTAGTTAAGATAGCTTTGGCCTACAATAAAGGTATCATAAGCAACAATAACAATAATTTTCCTTTAGATTTACCGAAAGGCATATAATATGAGATCAAACCTAAACAACACTTTCAACTGTATCCAGCTAGGCAGGCCCTTACACTACATAGTTGAAGGTTAATCTAAAGGAAATTGTACAAAAAAAGTGCAAGAAAATTGTACAATGTAATGCCAGCCTTAGTGAGAAAATGGATAGTGGAAATTCAGTGGACATAGTCTATCTAAATTTTTCTAAGGCGTTTGATACTGTACTTCATAAACAATTACTCTCTAAAATAAGCTCTGTTAGAGTTTTGAGAAATTATATGTACATGGATAGGAAACTGGTTACATGAATGGGTCTAGAGAGTAGTGATAAATGACTCATTTCTCTAACTGGACTAAAGTTGTGAGTGGTGTGCCCCAGGGTTCTGTCTCATGACCAAAGCTGTTTAGTTTGTTTATTAATGCTATAAAGGTTGGAATCAAGAGCTCATTATAAGTGTTTGCTGGTGATACTAATTATGCAGCAAAATAACGCTGTCACATAATGTAGCATAATTACAGGAAGACCTTGACCAACTAGGGAATTCGGCAGCTGCATGGCAGATGAGGTTCAATATTGAGAAATGTAAAGTTATTCACTTGGATGGCAAAAATACAATTGCAAATTGCACACTAGAAGGAGTTCTCAGTGGGGAAGCAGCAATATACTTCAAGAAGTGAATTAAACAAAACTGGATTTTTGTACTTGCCTGTATATCATGGGACACAGAGCCATCACATTATTCCTTACTGATCAGGACATCCCAAAGCACTGCTCATAAGGAGAAGGAGACAGTGCCACCAGGGGCATCACTCGGGATGGTGTCATGTAATTGTTTCCCATATAACACTGCATATAATGGCAATATTATAATAAACAAAACAGTGTGCGCTATCAGACAAATGTGTATACATTAATAAACCCAATTAGCTTGCTGCAATAGCACTTAAAAGTGATCCCACACTCAATACAACCAAATGAAAACAATAGTGCTGCACTAACTCATATCTTATATAACCATAACGTATAAAGTGTCCAAAGTGAAAAATATATACAAAGTATTGCATGCAAAGTCCTTTTTGACTGTGACGACTCCAACTCTTTAAAGTGCTTAAATACTGTATATTGTGCTTGAATGAGATTTAACAACTCCAAACTACTGTGCTCCACCTCAAATATGTGCACCTCCACCAACAATTGAGGATGGCCGCCCACCTCATCAAGTGACTTATATATTAGTATAGGTCAATCAAGCATATTAATTCAATTCATGGACTTCAGATGGCAACATAAAGCTGATAATGGCAATACCAAGAAATGCAACATACCAGGATCTCTTCACCACTCAGTTCTCACATGTAGAAAGAAAAAAAACACGCTCCAATAGCATACTACCATTTATTGGACAAAATCAAGAAGCAGACAAGCATTCACAATAATTGAGATATTCAAGATTGATATAGAGTAAACTCTTTCCGGTCCACAAATCCGTAACCAGAACTGATGTCACTAAACTCTGCCCCACACGTTACACCAGCAGCCACGTGCCTTCATCAGGGCTATTCCTGACGAAGCCACATGGTTGGTGGTGTATCGCGTGGGGTGGAGCTTAGTGAAGTCGGTTTCGGTTACTGAGCACAGTGATCTTACCCCCTCCCTCCTCCTGCAATATAAGGAATTCATAACCTTATTTTTAACAAACTTCAAAAGAGCCTCTTATCTCAGCTTAGGGACAGCAGACACAAGCACATAGGCCTTGGTCAGAGCTGTAAATAGCGAGTCGAATACTGGCAGGATGCCTATGGACCATAAAAAAAAACTCTACAGATTAACATTTCCCTCTGACCTATCGTAAAACAATGACAAAATCTGTCCATTCTGTCACACATGATGTGTGGGGCTATTAAAGCACTAGGAACACATAGCGTGACATAAACGTCTACACAGAAAGCAGCCAGGTGTGGGCAACCTCTGAGACCTCAATTCACAACTTAAAATCCACACACAATTCATTAAATCCAACAGGACCAAGACACGATATTAAGTAAACACTATATTGCAAAAAGTATTGGGACACCCCCAAATCATTGGATTCAGGTGTTCCAATCACCTCCGTGGCCACAGGTGTATAACATCAAGTACCTAGGCATGCAGACTGCTTCTACAAACATTTTTGAAAAAATAGGTTGCTCTCAGGAGCTCAGTGAATTCAAGCATGGTATCGTGATAGGTTGTCACCTGTGCAATAAGCGTGAAATTTCCTTGCTACAAAATATTCCACATTAGTGGTATTCTAATAAAGTAGAAGCCACTGGGAACAACAGCAACTCGGCCACAAAGCGATAGGCCACATAAAATGACAGAGCGGGGTCAGTGCATGCTGAAGAGCACAGTGCGCAGAAGTCGCCAAATGTCTGTTGAGTCAATAGCTAAAGACCTCCAAACTTCATGCAGCCTTCAGATTAGCACAAAAGTGTGTAGAACTTCACGGAATGGATTTCCATGGTCGAGCAGCTGCATCTAAGCCTTACATCAGCAAGTGTAATGCACAGTGTGGAATGCAGTGGTATAAAGCAGACAAGTCACACTTCTCTGTCTGGCAATCCGATGGATGTGTCTGGGTTTGGTGGTTGCCAGGAGAACGGTACTTGCCTGACTTTATTGTGCCAAGTGTATAGTTTGGTGGAGGGGGGATTATGGTGTGGGGTTGTTTTTCAGGGGTTTGGCTTGGCCCCTTAGTTCCAGTAGAAGGAACTCTTAAGGCATCAGCATACCAAGACATTTTGGACAATTTCATGCTCCGAAATTTGTGGGAACAGTTTGGGGATGGCCCTTTTCTGTTACAACATGACTGCGTACCAATGCACAAAGCAAGGTCCATAAAGACATGGATGAGCGAGTTTGGGGTGGAGGAACTTGACTGGCCTACACAGAGTCCTGACCTCAACCCGATAGAACACCTTTGGGATTAATTAGAGCGGAGACTGCGAGCCAGGCCTTCTCAACTGACATCAGTGCCTGACCTCACAAATGTGCTTCTGGAACAATGGTCAAACATTCCCATAGACACACTCCTAAACCTTGTAGACAGCTTTCCAGAAGCTGTTCTACCTGCAAAGGGTGGGCCAACTCAATATTGAACCCTACGGACTATGACTGGGATGCAATTAAAGTTTAATGTGCGTGTAAATGCAGGCGTTCCAATACTTTTGGCAATGTAGTGTATATTTGAATGGAGAATATCATACTGAACAAATCAAGGTCATACATGACTAAGTTAGCACATATGAAAGAAGAGAAAGCAGTCTCCTCCCTCCTGGGTGACCCATCCAAAATGCTCTGTGTTTGGTATCTCTGGACATGAAATCTAATGCTGAACAATAATCTACCAGCTTCCAGTTTGCAACATGTACATAGTGGAAGATATTAATATTAGTATAAAACTGCGTGTAAGGGAAAGCTATGATACAGTCATAAATATAGTGAACTCCCAGCCACCACCCCTAATACCAGGTAATTGGTCAGATTGGCTCTGTGACACCCCTTTGATACGACAGAAAAAGGAAATGTCAGGACTCTGATCTCTCTCATTTTAACCTCAAACAAGGAACACCTAACTGGACTGGAAAGAGCCACTGTGCCATTTTTTGCTTGAACAATTGGACTGATCAAACCAAGGACTCTGCAAATATTATTCATTTTCAACTCCTTTTTAATTCTCTTTTGCTTTATTGTCTCTTTTTTTATTTGTAACACCTTTTGTTCTGTAAATATATTATTTGCACCATTTTTGACCTTTTCATTTTTAAACCCTAAACTTTTGAAAAGTGTTAAAACATTCCTAAGGCTTTTGATGTAAACTAAAGAATCCCTGTCTCTTGAAGAGTGCTACTGTATATGGCAGATGTTTATTTTTCATATTTGTTATTGCTAAGATTATGAGTTTCTGCCTTCTCAGTCAAAAGGTGGCAGTGGTAGCTTAAGGAGTTTATTGCTTAACCCAGTGACATTGATCTCAGGCTGCTGGCACCTAGTTGTGGTCCTGCAGACTGGAAAATCATTGCGCAGGGTGCAGCTGAGAATGGCATTGTTACGTAAGTGGCAGCACAGTGTGAGGTTGGCCAGTCCTTTGTCACAAGTTGGTCAGAAGGGCAGGGGTCAGGCACCCTTGACTGGAGAAAAGTTAAAATATGGCCCATAACATACTTGCAAGGATGAAAACCACTTAGCTTCACACTAAGCTACATAGGATCTCCAAAATACTATGATAAATCTTCCTCGAAGAAGCTGGTTCTAAAAAGTGAGAGGATGACTGAATCAGACACTCCCCTATCCTTCCAAACTTTGGCTTCAAAACCCACGTTATTCAAGACGGCAACCATAAAGAAGTATGGAAGATCAGACCTTGCAATAAGGAAATCTAATCGAGCTGAAAGAGACCAAAGTTCATCAATCGACATGTTCACAATATCGGAATACTGCATTCTCCTGGACCAAGCTGGTGCGATTAAGACCAGTGGCATTGTTTTCACCCAGATCCTGCAAAGCAGATGAGGAAGAAGCCATAAAAGGAGGAAAAGCATATCTCAGGGAGACTGGTCCCAAGGCATCATCAGGGCATCTACTGCAAACACCCAAGGATCCCTGGTCTGTTCTTGGGCCACTCAGTTTCTGGAGAAAACTTGTTGAAATCCAGCAGAGAACAAACATTGCCTGTTTGGCTTAGGAACCATGAGAACAAAGGTTTGAGTAAAAACAACAAATCTTTTTGTTCTCTGGAACTGGCCTGATCTTTCCTCACGAAAATGTGGTCAAGCCTCTAACAACAAGAATGCTTTTGAAGATTCGTGGAAAGCCAAAATGTGAAATGGGAAAACTCATGAACACGTGGCAGTGCCCCTCCATTGAAAATTAGCCCTAGAGTCCAGTTTTGCTGACTCAAAAGGGATACAGGGATACAGGCAATGTTTTTGACATGAACACACCCATACAAGTTGAACTGGATGGACTGGTGTCTTTATTCAACCTTACCAACTATTTAACTATGTAAAAGACCAGGACTTGTAACAGAACTGATTCTGTGTCTTTGCCCTGGAGGCCAAAGTCTGCAAGTGTCAAAGGATTTGTCTCAGGAGTAGAAGTAAAAAGAGCAGGCGCCCTATGAGATGCACGCTCTCCCATATTCCAAACTGGTAAATTTAACATTTTCTTCCTGAAATCTTCTTGATATACTTATCCTGGTCTGCAGTTCATGAACAGGAAAACCTGTCGACAGCTTCTTGCAGAGTATTACTACAGATCAATGCTTTAACCAAAGAACCCCTTTGCATATTTATGAACAATAGTACTAAGCACAACATCTCCTGAAAGTAATCTTTTAAAAGCATCCACAGCAAAACAGGGAGCCTGAGGGAAATCTGCTCAATGTTCACTTAGCTCACCCTTACTGCATGTGGAGTCTAAGCTCCTAGACAAAACTTTAAGGCTCTGGCAGACACCTATAGCTATATAAATAATAGGTGTAGCACTAGAACAAATGTTGCAGCATAATATATGATCTAAAATATAGCATAACAAATGTGCAGAGTCATATGTCACCATTAGGTGACCAGAGTAAGTGAACAAATCAATGAGAATAGAGGAGAAAAAAATAAATAAATCGTGGGGATCCAATGAGATCCTAATGTAAGTGCGTGGGGAACTGATCCGGAGTGGCAGATGACGAGTGATAAATGAATGAATTGCGCATTCACCAGAAGTGCGTAAGTACACGCATTTGAGATAGCCTGTCTCATCAGGTATAACTCAGGTACATATGCTTCCAAATAGGGCCAGGATCCTGTACACCTTCTGGTCACGTCTAGGGCAGGGTGCTCAAAAGACCTTCAAACGTACCACCATCAGGGGTCCCTTTTAAAAAGCAGGTTCTGCGGATGGAGGCTCTCAGTGAAGAAAGCCCAATAAGGGACACCACATAGTGTGTTACCGTAGACGATTTATTCATCAAATAGGTGTATACAGGCAAATAAGTAAGTAATATAAGGAAAAAAACTGACCATATAAAATTCAGGTGGCTAGACGTCCAGTAACTGCTGCCCCCTTGACGCGTTTCGTGCTATGCATCATTATAGGGTGCTGGGCTTGCAGTGTAAGGCGTCCTGTAGCTCCTATTTATGTTTGAAAATGGCGCTCGCAATTATCGTGGCCGCCATTTTGTCGGCGATCGGCACATGCGCAGTGCGTCGGTGCCATTTTACCATAGATCGCGGGGACTAGAATGAACTGTATTATCCCCTGTGGATGCGCGCGCACCGCGGCGCCATTTTGTTGGTGGTAATTAGACACCAGAGTGTAAGCTGAAAAGTCACCTTGTAATGCAAATCTGTAAAGGAACAGCAGAAGCAGGATGAATGCTTAGAAAACCATCTAATGGGGTCCCATGTATTTTACAACAATAGGGCAATACAAACTAACGTTGCCCAGCATATAATGAAGATATATGCAAAGACCACCCACTATACACATTTAACTGGTGCTATAAGTAATAGCCATATATAATATGTGTAGAGGCAAAAATGAAATGTAAATATTATTCCCCATGGTGACATCAAATATACAGTCAGGTCCATAAATATTGGGACATCGACACAATTCTAACATTTTTGGCTCTATACACCACCACAATGGATTTGAAATGAAACGAACAAGATGTAATTTAACTGCAGACTGTCAGCTTTAATTTGAGGGTATTTACACCCAATCAGGTGAACGGTGTAAGAATTACAACAGTTTGCATATGTGCCTCCCACTTTTTAAGGGACCAAAAGTAATGGGACAATTGGCTTCTTAGCTGTTCCATGGCCAGGTGTGTGTTATTCCCTCATTATCCCAATTACAATGAGCAGATAAAAGGTCCAGAGTTAATTTCAAGTGTGCTATTTGCATTTGGAATCTGTTGCTGTCAACTCTCAAGATGAGATCCAAAGTGCTGTCACCATCAGTGAAGCAAGCCATCATTAGGCTGAAAAAACAAAACAAACCCATCAGAGAGATAGCAAAAACATTAGGCGTGGCCAAAACAACTGTTTGGAACATTCTTAAAAAGAAGGAACGCACCAGTGAGCTCAGCAACACCAAAAGACCCGGAAGACCACGCAAAACAACTGTGGTGGATGACCGAAGAATTCTTTCCCTGGTGAAGAAAACACCCTTCACAACAGTTGGCCAGATCAGGAACACTCTCCAGGAGGTAGTTATATGTGTGTCAAAGTCAACAATCAAGAGAAGAGTTCACCAGAGTGAATACAGAGGGTTCACCACAAGATGTAAACCATTGGTGAGCCTCAAAAACAGGAAGGCCAGATTAGAGTTTGCCAAACGACATCTAAAAAAGCCTTCACAGTTCTGGAACAACATCCTATGGACAGATGAGACCAAGATCAACTTGTACCAGAGTGATGGGAAGAGAAGAGTATGGAGAAGGAAAGGAACTGCTCATGATCCTAAGCATACCACCTCATCAGTGAAGCATGGTGGTGGTAGTGTCATGGCATGGGCATGTATGGCTGCCAATGGAACTGGTTCTCTTG